CTTTATCTGTCAAATGTTTTCGAGTAGGTTTATGTTTGTCAGTTCTCCACTCTTATATAGAAATCTGTCAAATGATGAATAAAGAACAAAATGATGTTGATCCTAATGTCTGTTGCTATTATATATTTGTTATTGTTCTTATTTGGGGCAAAAGCTTCCAACCGCTGCACCTTTAGGTTCTAAAGTATGATTGATTGTATCCTTTATTCCATGCAAAAATATTATTTGGTAGCTTTAAGGTAGTACTAGGGATATACCATTGTAATTTGTAATCGTAGCCTTAATACTACTAGAAAATTTTCTAAGATTGATCTTTATTGTAGATGTGTGGCAAACTTCCTTGAAACTTAAAATTGAAGAACAACATAAGTATTGCTTATTATCAACAATTTTTGTCCTTCCAATTTTTTTCTTTCTTTAACTATCACATTCCTTATGTGTGGATATTCGGATACTCCTAACATATGTCGGTTAGTATATTACTATATTTTAATTTCTAGTTCAATGTCCAGCAAACAAGCTCTTGTTAGTTGTTAGTTCAAGTCAAAATTGATTTTGTATGTGCAAATTTGAGATGTAACAGGAAATCAGTGGTTAAGGGACGGTTGTTCTTAAGGTATCCCTTAGATGGTTCACTATCCATCCAATAAAAAAAATTAAATTTCCTAAATATTAATTATTAATAACCAAAAATGGATGAATTGGATTGAGTTTTTGTATAATTGGATTAGATGGATAATGGACTAATTAATGGGTCCATAGGTTAGTAAATAAATAAATAAAAAGGTTGAATGAGTTATGTTTTTCTTACTCTATATCATGATTCTCATTTTTTTTTTTTTATAATAAAAGTGTTTTATTGTCTAAAAATAGATGTCAACACGTGACTCGATGAATCACATGAAATCCTTGCGTTGTGTCTGTTAACTTATTTTGTCATCTTTAATTAAGATAATATATTTCCTTTGTCTTCTTTGACACAAGATGGTGAGGCCATAACTGTTGGAGAACAAAAAACACCTTAGGTGCTGAAGTCACCTCAATTATGTGAGTGAAATTCATGAGGGAAGAAGGAATTAGAAGCAAAGAAAATTGTAGAAAGTTACTATACACATTAAAGCACGAAACAGGTTAACCATTCCTTATTTTTTTTGGAAACTGATCCTAATTACTTCTTTATGCGAGTCCAAGAATTACGGTACTCATGCTCCCAGATGGTGTTGGTGGGATTCGAACCGAGGTCCTCTCCCACCACTCAGTCCCCATGCTACCAACTGAGCCACCACACTTGGGTGGTTAACCATTCCTTATGATTGTGCTCGTTATACACCATGCGTAGAACTTTGCTGCGAAAAACCATTGTGAACATTTTATTAGTTTATAACAAATTTATCTATAGTTAAATTGACAAATTTTACATGGAGGAAAAGATAAAATTTTATTCACTTTATCATGATACAAATGTTTCATGTAAAGAAAATTTTGAGTGGCCTAGCCTGCCACAATAATACATCATCAAATTTGGTTGACTAAAGCATAGTGAGTCACGATTTCTTTATGCATCCTTTTGAGATTTTGTATTTGGTAGAGTCCAGCATATGTCCTAACATCAATCCTCTTCCCGGATTCCAAATCCTGAAAATAAGATCCATTCATGTGAAAATAAGCAACACACTTCAAGTCTTTTGGTAAGTTTGCTAATAGATAATTTTGGTCAGTAAGAAATCCGGACCGACTCGGTCGGGTTGACCTGGGAACCGGTAAACCGGTCATATAATCGGTCTGGTTTAAGTAACAGACCGGTCATGCATCAGAACCGGTGCGACCCGATGCGACCCGGTCAATTTTCATGAAAATCGGTCACCCGATCGGTTAACCAGTGACCCGGCCTGGTCCAAAAAAAAAATTCATAATGGACATATTTGAATATTTTTTGCTTATTGACTTACATAAGTTATGTACCTACAACACTAATATTATCTCAATTATGCACTATGCAGAAGATTTTGATTTGATTTATAGTTAGAGATGTCATTTTCTGAACCTAAAGCCTCGTATCACGATCATTATATTTTTGTTTGATCTTTTATTGGATAATAATATGAGATTTATTATTTTTTTATATTAAAATATTTGAAATTTTTATCATTTTTTTTAGATATCAGAGTATGTTTATAATTTTTTAATATAAATTATAAAATTGCATATAATTACCGGGTCATGCAGTTGAACCAGTGACCCATTAGTTGAACAGTGATCCAGTAACCCAGTACCTCGACCGGGTCAATGATCGGGCCGGTTTTAATCACATTGATTTTGGTAATAAGCCCTCTGATAATTTTACAACCCCAGTTCCACCAACTTTGCTAAAGTACCGTTAGTTACTTTCACAATTAGACCTTCAGAATTTGGAATAAAGCTAACTACAAGGGAGGCACTACCAAACTTATGGTCAAAAGCTCGTAAGACAATAATTTGTGTATCAAATTTTCTAATTTGATGATAGTTCAGTTGGCGCATGAGAGCTAAGTAGTTAAAGGTGATAGCATTTGTTCAATCTTTTCCAATATCATTTTTGAAAAGGATTTAAAGTCTTAATCCTGAACCCACTCCGAACAGCATTTCCTTCCGCCGAGGATATCTGAAGTTTATCACACACACACAAATCCAATTTGAGCATGCAAGGCTGCCAGAGAATTATCTACAAGTGTTATTGCACCAATACGCATGTGTTTCTTTGGCTTGTGAGCGTTAATCATCTTTAGGAGGATCACCAGATTCACCACTTGTTCCTTGCTAAAAATGGTAGGTTGAAGTGAAGTAGTTTGTCTCCATTCCTTTGTAGATACCATGAATCCTCGATTTCCTCTTAGTTGCCTAGGCTTCCAATTAGCTTCCTCGATTGACCTTTCCAAAGTTGCTCCTAACAGCAAAGGCAGAGCACTCTGATGTTAGTTTTAAGTTTCATGGCCCAAGAGTCAATTGCTATATACTCTCTTCCTACTGTGCTTCAGCATATACTTTCCTAATTAAGGGTAATGGGCATGTGGCCACAATCCTATCTTTTGGTTGCATCATACACCGAGTTAAAGCCCAAGAGGAAGCTATAAATACTATATTTTCCCACAATTCTCCTATAAATGGTTGCATTTGTGTTGTTGGTCCATTGATGATCTTCAGTACTTCACCAAGGTTTATAGTATTGAGCAAAATTCTTATTCGAATGTTTCAGATCCCTCAAGATACCTTTTTATCTGGGACAAGACAGTGTTGTCTACTTGGAATATGATTCTCTGTATCTTGTTATTTCCATGAAGAATGTGGCTGCAATTTTGTGGCATTGGCTATACATAAAAATAACCAATCATATACCATAATTTTAGGAAATAAAACTGGAAATATGTAAATAAGAAAATGAAATATGAATGGATCGTATGGAGAATCACAATTGACTAAGAAGAGAGGATTTCCTCTTATTTGAACTTTCTCAATTTTTGCTTCCCTCCTTTCCTTCTTTGTTACCTAATTTGTTGTGTCTGAAAATCATCTTCTACGACTTTTTCTTGTATCTTGGCCCTCCTCTGCTCTCGTGTTTGAAGAGCACTCATCAATTCAGCAAGTGATATTTTGATGAGATTCTTGAACTCTTAAAGTTTCTACGTTCTTTTTATAGCATATCATGATGGATCTTTTTCATGTGAATTTTTTAATCACTACCGTAGCTTTTTGACATAGTTAGCAAGCTATTAAAAGGATTTGTCGAGAAATTGCCATGACTTTTGAATCTTGATTTTAAAGTTTGTTCTCGAAGTTGTCATAATTTTAACAGGATCACTTCTTTCCGGTAATTTACATTACCATTCGGGCTTTAAGCTTTGTTGGCATGTAGATTGTATATTGCAATGATATTAGGAGTAGAATGTCAATACTGATCAACGGGCAGGATTATATTATAGCGTAAGAATAATAAGCCTTGTATCAGATTTTAACCGTTAATTTTTATATATCTAACGATTAAGATTTATTGGATTTCATATATTAATTAATTATTAATTCTCAATAAATTTTAATCGTTAAATGCACGAAAATCAATGAATAAAATTTGATATAAGATCTAATATTCTTATACTGGTGTAAATTGATCTTCATCAATATATTATGTTTACATGGTGATAGGTTTAGATCTTGTAACGATCCATTATTTGTCCTGTATTAATCTATATTATGGTACAAAATTGGCATTTTTTTCAATAATTATGTGCCTGTCCTTTCTATGAATATCAAGCAATTACATGCTGTGGATTTTCTTTAATTCATTTCTTCTTCTTCTTTTTTGCGATATTTAAACGTTCTTTTGACGCGTAAAGCAAACTGTTATCCTTCGAAAACCCACTTTCGTAATAACTTTTCATTTTTATTTTGGTGGCAGGCTTTTTTTATCAAAAAAATTCAACATGAGATAAACAATTTTGTTTTCCTCTCTGGATCAAAATCAATTATATGGCGGTTCACTCTGATCATTTTCGACATATAGAGCTATGATAAGTATTGAAAAATTTTGGATATATAGAGAAATGAAAGAAATGTGCATAGAAAACTAGCGGTAATTTTGCATAAATCAAGTAGAGCTTTTGTATGTATAGTTATTTTTGTTAGATTGTTCATTTGTAACATTATTTATGATCCAACCGTTAATCAAGCACTTTGGTAGTAGTTTACCCATTTTTTCTCTTGTAATTGTTTACAACTAGAAACTTACATGAAATGAAATAATTCTTTTATAAAGAACATGATGTACGTAACAAGTAAAAAGCTATACCAAGACCCGCTTGGGATGTTAAAAATTAACTTGGTTTTGCTTGGGAAGTTGAAAATTTACTTAATTTTGCTCCAATGAGTATGACAACCGACGTTCTCCAAATCTTGGGGTAATTGTAAGCATCAAAACAATGAAAATGGGAACCAGACCTACTTGAATATTTGTTCTAGCTGTAGATTGTTTGGCATTGAATCTAATTGGCAAAGTGAATTGTACTATCATGTAATTGAGTTCTATCAGTTACATCTGAATCAAAATAGAAAAAGGAAAAAACAAAAAAAAACAAAAAAAAAAACAAAGGAAAAGGGAATTTAACAAAGAAATGAAAATTAGGGTACAAAATTAACAGAAGGAAAATGCTGACTAATGTAATCAGATGCCTCAGTAAAACCTTAATGGTACAAATTTGCTACAACCCTTCTCTTTACTTCTAAACTTCTCCATTTTTTTCTTTCTCAAGACCACCCTCCCAACCTTTTTTTTTGCTCTTTTCTTCAGACTTGGCCATCGCCAATACTTCCAATGTACAGATACAAGAATGACTACAATGTCTATATGTTCATGGATTTTTACCGTGTCAAAAACTTGTATACCCCTTTGTCATCATAATATCCTTGGCTCAACATATCACAACACGAATCAGGCCTGGCTGCGGTTCTGTGAAATCAAGGCCTTCTTCATCGAGTAGATAACGCTGTACAGCTACCGGAAGTCTCGCCGGAGTGCGGGAACCCCTGGTGTGGTGGCCAGTGCCAACACAGATATAAACCTGCAAACGCTGCTCAGCAGCTCTAGCAGTGCTTCTTAGCACACTCAATTCATGTTTCAGTACGTGAATGGCTTCACTTACATGCAGCCCATGTAGGTCTATCATTCTCTCATGTCCTCTTCCATTCACCTGCATATCTGGACCAACAGGGTTCCTGAAAAACCAACACTCACATGACTTAGGCAGAACCCTACACTAAGAAAACAAACCTAGTAATGAGGAATTTTAGAACAATGAAAACCCAACATTCTAGCTCATACAATATACTGGTGAGGGAAGAAAAAGGAAAACCTGCAGCTCTTTGGGCTCAAAGAAGTAGAGGTACAGCCCTTGTACCTCACTTCTAACAATTTTTCTCTCTAAGCCAATGTATAACAACTGGACATCAGTTAACTTTTTTTTAACTGCTCACATTGTTTCACACCTCACACAACCAATGTGTGACCATCATATGCAAGTCAGCAAAAAAATACGTGTGAATAGGATAAGAAACATGTGGAAGGTAAAAATATGAACAAAAAAGAAACGAATAGATCCAGCTGTGTCAAAAGAAACTCTCATCATATGCAAGTTGGGTAGGGGCAAAAAAATATCATTGTTAAACTTTAAACTGGACCGTAAACTAAACACCAAGCTAGTTATGATCTAATCTCATAACCGAATTGATGGTCGGACCAAAGTTATCAAATGCGGATTGCGGCATGTAGCGGCCAACCCCAAAAAACGCTATAGCGTTATAGCGGGTTGCGGTTGCGAAAATAGCGGAATAGATATATAACAGAAATAATAACAAAAAAGAAACATTTTTTAAAGGCAAAGATAGCAGAAGTGGCAGATAGACTAGAAAACCCTTAAAAAATTTCCGTTACACATTTAAATTTAGGACAAAATTGAAATTTTGCCTTATGACAACAATATGGCCGCGATTTGGCCGCAAATGCGATCGCAATGGCCGCTATTGCGTTCCGGTGCAACACGACGTGGTTGCTTGCGGCGAGGCACCGCAACGCCCGTACGGCGCGACTCGCGGCGCTATTGCGGCGCAATTAACTACTATGGGTCGGACAACCAATTGACCAATCAAAACTAGCCAATCCCTAGTTGAATGATGGAAGCAAAAAAATCACTCCCATGAACCCCAAATTGCGAGGATAAGAGGAAATTCCTTACCCACGATCTTACTCTTGTATTTTTACAAGAAGATTATTTTCTAGATTCAAACCAATTTTTACAAAAGGAAAACATTTTCTTTTCATATCTCAAATATTTTTAGCGTATTAATTTATGTAAATTATTCTTATGATATCAACAAGTTCAAGTAATCGGTTTGAAAGGTTGAACTTGGACCAAAAGTAGGAGTGTGCACAGTTCAGTTCGGTTCAATTTTCTTGGCCGAACTAAACTAGAAAAAACAATTCAGTTCGGAGAACTGGTTTGTTTTTTCAAACCAGTTCAGAATTGGTTTTTGAAATAGTTCTGAACACGTAAAACCACCATGTATGAACAATAGATTGAAGAATTGTAGTTCAATAAATTGGATCAGATACACTAACATGTCAAAATATTCTGGGCTTATCAATGTTACAGCTTGTATAAAGGTTTTGAACAATGATTGAATATGATAAGTGAGGCATTGTGTACGATAAAAAAAAAATAGCAAAATAACATAAAAAAATCAGTTCAATTCATCAACAACACATTTATCCCAAACTAGTTAGGGAGGGTCAATGGCAAATGAACCCAAATGGAAAATACAAAAAGATTAAGGGAAAAATATTTAAAAAATATAAACAATACTAGAAATTAAAAAAATTAATAAACAATTAAAAAATAAAATAAATGAAAATAAAGATAAATGAGAGAGTAAAATACATAAGAGAAAAATGAAAAAGAAACTAAAAATAAAAAACTAAAGAAATAAAAAACAGTAAATAAATGAATAAGAAAAAAATACAGAGGAAAAAAGAGAAATAAAAGAAAAGAGAAGAAAAAAGAAAAAAAAATAGTTCGGATCATGAACTAATTTTTTAAAACCAATTCAGTTCATTAATTGTTTAAAAAAAAATAGTTCTTTTAAGTGCAGTGAAATTTAGTTCACAAAGGAGTTTAGTTCTTTTTGTTATTTTGTACACCCCTAACCAAAAGTCTCACATAGTCACCTGTTCATTGTCCAATCTCCAGTTTTAACAACGTCAGAAAATATGTGGGATAAATAAGAATCATTTTGCAGGAACAAGATTGCTGTCATGCAACACTACCGACAAGGCAAAGTCATTGAATAATGTGTATCTTCCACTTTCTTTAATATTATTTTCCTTGTCTGTTTCCGTGGCAGGAAGAAAAATTTCTTCCAGCAACAAGACGAAATGAAAGCCCAATATATATATTGTCATTATGACATCATACAAATAGTTTTTTTACTAAAACTCACATGAACAGGAAGAGTGACAGCAATAGGGAACAACCAACCTCTGCCGGTAAATAGATTCTTGAGCTTTTCCGTGAGCAGCTTTCATATGCATGTTGTGCAGTTGCCCTTTAGCACTTAGCTCCTTTGCAAGGGCCTTATTTCCGATAAGGTAGGCTTGCCGTGCCTGTTTTTGAATTATGAAAAATTAAACTCAAGATACAGAAATTAGGTCCTGAGATCTCCTAGCAAGTCCTCATTTACATCCCTTCCCCACCTAGTGGGATAAAGCTTGATTATTGAAACTCGAAGGTACAAAAAATGATAGGTGGACAAATTTCATTCCGATGGCATATAAACAAAGATATAAGATTGTCCGAAAACAAACTACGAAACAGATGGTTCTGGTAAGCACATGACGGCCACACAGCAAATGTTTGGGACTTTGTTGTTTGTTCATATTCATTTCGGTGTCCACCTAACAGCTCTTTTATTAAATCTACCCACCCTACCCAGACTACAACTTGATTGTCCACATTTATATACTAAAAAACAAAAGAGATAATGTAAATTGTGGACTAACTCAGAAAGAACATATAAGACTACAAGTCCAGGGAAAGCATGTGGATACAAGTTAACATGAAGCACATAACCAAAATCATTACATTCTATTCTCATTCACATACCCATTAACTTCTCCATGAATCAAACACCCACCTGCTCAAAATATACATTACGTAAGCGTGCATGATCACGAGCCTCCTCCCGCAGCTCAGAATACATATTTGCTGTCATCCAAAATTGTCAAAGGAAACACAGTATAGAAGGAATTTATCTCACAAAGAATATAAACATAAATATTTACCAACTGCGTCACCCGTTTCAAGCCAAACAGGAGCTGCCCGAGCAGAACCACGGCTCTGTAACCTATCACCAAAGTTAGATCTCCCCTGTCCACCATTGTAGGCACTAGCCAGAGCATTTAAACTCCTACTTGAGCCAGAGGAAGCATCACCAGAATCATTTCTGTCATACTTCCATATACCAGAATCCTCAGCAGCCAATTTCCTGACAGCTGAAGCAAAATCAACACCACCTCTAGATGGAATAGAAGAGCTAGATTTGAACATGAGCATGTCTTTGTCAGATGATAGGTAAGGATTGCCACTTTGTTGGACATTATCTGCAGCATATTTTGCAGAAGTAGCCTGGCCATTTGGTGAATTAAGTGCTGGAAAGTCCATTGCGCTCAGATTGGGAGCTGACAGAGTCTTCGGACTCAGATTCTGACTGAAACTACCATCAACTTGAATCTACACATTTGGAGGGGGAAAAGTAGAAATAATCAAATAATCAACATAAAAGCCCTTGGTTAAGGATACCAGAGAAATGAGTAATATTCATGAGTGATGACAATGACATCCACAGAATGAAAAACAAAACCTAGAGATGTGGTTGTGTTACTGTATTAATCATATACCAAGAAAAGATCATATATCCAAAAAAAATGCTAAAGATTGCAAATGATCCCTTGATAACATGAAGATAGGTATCAGGATTCAGGAAACAGAGATTAGAAACCGGAAGCTGGAGTGCATTAGAGTCGCCTCACGCTTTAAAGGGGTGCCGGCTCTTCCCTGCCAAAACAAGGCACAAGCATTGCTCTACACGTTTAGCTCCCATCCCTTCAGATTTAATATTGTACCAAAGTATATCGCAAGATGTGCATTTCCAACCAATAATTACATCACAACATGCTAGGAGACATATAGTTATAGCACATGAATATAACTGACAATGTACGAATTTATAGGCAATCACATGAAAAGAGGCTTTATAATGAACCATAATCAAACCACAAGTCAGTTATAACATGAAGATCAACATACCTCTAACTGAGTGAGCATCTCAATGGTCAGATGCAAATCGCATCCATTAGCAAAGTAAACTTCAGCAAGGCTTTCTGACGCAAAACCAGGGAATATAGAAGCTAAAAACTCCAAAGGGTTCAAATCAGTATCGTTTACAATAGCATTCTCAGCCAAAACATCATTTAAGAATCCATGTCTAGAATTGTCATCATAAGCAAGCACCTCTCGACCACTGTTAACATGCAGGTTGGTATTCCCAATTTGCATATCCCAAGGCTTTGCTAATGTATTCAGAAAGTTGGCTGAAGATGGTTCCTCCCTGTAGGTTGAATTGGAAAACCTTAATTTATCAGCAAAGGTATTGCCATTAAGGTGCTGTTGAGATAATTCCTGCTCCTCATTTAATATATATCTACTTCCCTTAGAAGAAGGAAACCTTGAGGATTCATCATCATCGTGTACAGATAAGCCTGCTAAAGAGAGGTCATTGAGACCTTGGGACTCATCTTCTCCATCCACCTTGAAGTCAGGGGTGATATCATCAGGGAGCTGACAACGCCAGTACTGGTGGGCCTCATCATCAGAATTATTTGATATGGATGATTCTGATCTATCTAAAACTGCTTTCCCAAGAGATCCAGCAGTAGAGAGCCTTGATGTTGCATCTACCGAGCTGGAACTTGCAGATGGCAATGATCTGAGGGCAAAAGGAATGAACTCTGCTGCATTTGGATTCAAAGCGGTTGCCTTTGGGGCGCTCAGTTTTGTTGTGTCTGTTTGGGATCCTTTCTTGGATAAGCTCATTATTGAATAGAATATGAACAAATTGATTAAAACATATATGGACTTCAAAAATAGTAACAGGAAAATTCCAGACAACTTCAACCAAACCCTGCAAAATAATTCAATTTGATCATACTCGATCAACCAGACTGCAGTCAAAATAACAAGAACAATAAAATTTCCACAAGTTTCATGCATTATGTACTAGACAAATGAATTCAATAGTATCCCAGATCACATGAAACATGAATGCGAACAAGTAACCAACTCAATATTGAACTCTAGTTAAAACAATTTATATAAAATCCACCATTTGAAAATTGTAATTACCAAATTAACAGAACAGTTGAGCATGTGCAAAGGTACATAACTAGATCGATTATCACTGCAAGCAACTACAGTTGACCATTTTCAAAACTTTTAACTTGGAAGTGAATCCCTTAAGCTTAATTGAACAACAGAGGCACTATGTATGAGTTACAGACACGACTTTTAGTAAATCTTACGAATACAAAAATCCATAGGGATCACTGACCAATGTCAGAACTGGTAATAAACTACAGGATAAGGTTAAAACCCTAAAAAAATTCAGATATAATTGAAAGCGTTCAAAGCACTTTAGAAGACGACCTAAACAATTGAAAGAATTATTGGGTAGTAAAACGCAACAAAACTTCAAAAAATTTCAAACCCAAATTTCATAAGAACAACAAACAAAATAAAGGTGCGACATACTAAAACCAGCAGAAGACAAAAGAAAAAAGCAACAAGTCAAAACATGAGCACACTGATAACACAACCTTCCATTATCAAAGCCAAAAACTTTACGAGATCTTAAGCAATTCAACCCCTCAAAAAATCAGAAGAAGACCAAAAAAAAAAAAAAAAAAAAAACCCAAGAAGTAAAATTAATCAAACAGAACAAAAGCTGGAATTACAGAAAAAAAAATTAAAAATTCATTATATGGGTAAGTGAAAGATCTGAGTTTCATGGAAGAGTGTAAAAGAAAAATTATACCTTTACGAATCAAATCAAATGGATCCATGAGCAAAGATTGCACGAGATCAACGGGAAAGAGAGGGAGAAATATAGAGATAAAGCAAAACAAGTTTTTATTTTTTTTCTGGGAATTGGAGCTTGGAACTCTCTCCAGTATTGTTATCTCAGTTATCAGGATTTTCTTCTTCTTCTTCTCTCTCTTTCCTTTCTCTTTTTTCCTTTTCTCTCTCTCTCTCTCTCTCTCTCTCTTCTTTCACAGTTTTTTTTTTTTTGTTTGAAACCCTCGTAGCTAATAGCAGCACTACCACCACCACAAAAATACTCAAGAAGACACCCAACCTTTCGCCACTCGATTTGACCTCTCTCTCTCTACAAACTTTCTCTCTCTATATGTGTCTTGAGTCTCTCAACCCTCTTCACTGTTTATAATTAATTAATCTGCATGATTGGGATTTGGGTTTAGAAAACGGTGGCACAACTTTTTTTTTATATTAATTTTAGTGCATTTACTATTTTGTTAGACAAATACAGAATTCTTTTTTTTTTCTCTTTTGTACCTCTTGCAATAAACAAACGTGTAACAACCAACAACGTTAGTCACCTCAGATAATGTATGTTCTAAATTCTAATGAATCCCAAGCCAAAAGCCATGTGTATCTAAAGCCTATTTGAATTTTTTTTTTTAAGTGAAAAATGGAGAAGGATATTGTGACAACCAAGTTGTGTTATTACCAAGTGACTACCAATCAATCTCACCGTTAGATCGATTATGTTGAACCAACGGTTATATTTATTTCCATCTTTGTATGGTCATGATTCCTCATATTTAAAGTGAAAACATTAAATATGGAAAATCATAACCATAAAAAGGTGAAAATAAATATAAAATATTAAATTTGGAGAATCATGACTATACAAAGATGTAAATAAATATAACCGTTAGATCAATATAATCAATCTAACGATAAGATTGATTGGTAGTCACTTGGTAGTAACACAACTTAGTTGTCACAATATCCTTCCCCGTGAAAAATTACTTATAAGTTAAAATTTAAAAAAATAAAAGTTATTTGATGATTGTATAAAAATTTAACTTAAAAATTACTTAAAACCAAATATTTTAAGAAAATGTTATCTTTATCTTTATACCTCTTCATTTAAAAAATATAATTTAAGATAAGTTGATAAGAGATTAAAAAAACTTCTACTAGGAACTTTTGACTTTTGCTTTTTTTCTTCATTATAAAAAAAAGTTTTTATTATAAAAAAAATTTCAAAATTTGTTTAGCCTAACTTCTATTTATAAATAGCTTCTAGCTTAAAAAAAAAATTATCCAAACCAGCATTTACTAGTCCCTTAAAAAAAGTCAAATTGACGTGTAAAGCTTTGTTTGGAGTCACTTTTTGGAAGTGAATAAAAGGAAGGAGAAAATTGTATAGATGTTTTTTCTTTATTTATGAGTTTAAAAAAAATGAAAGAAAGAAATTGGAAATTTTTATAAAAAATTTCTCACCTTTAAAATCAGCACTCCCCTAATTTAGAGGGTTTGAGGGAATTTCTAACTCCGAAATAAGGAGAAGGGAATGTCCTTCGTTTTTCTTCCCTTTCTTTTCTTTTGATTCCCTTTTTTTCCTTTTCCTCTAAACTCTCAAATGCATCTTAATGGCTTTTTTCTTTGTGGGGGACATTTTGTAAAAGAGAACTTTTTTTTACTAAGTAAATACAATTACTAGGTATATGGGGGGAAAGTGAGTTTGATAGAAAAGTTAATAAAAAATTATTTGGTAAGCTGAAATTTTATCGAAAAAATTGGGTTAAATTTGTTGAGTACATATTTGATTAAAAATAAAACATTAATAAAAAAGTGGGTTAAAATTATGAAATTGGACATTTTAAATCTTGAATATGTAACCACAAGAACTCCTATGAAAATTCATGCCCGAGTCCATGTTTGCTTTGTTGAAGGCGTACAGGGTTATTTTTGACAATAGATTAGCATCTGTTTTTCTCTTTCCCAGAAAGAAGATAATACCACCTCATATGTGGTTAAATTGCACTAACTCAAATGCCTAGGTAAGAAATTTGACAGGCTAAATTTTTGGGACACTTCTATCAAACATGGGTAAGTTCAAAACCTAATCTAATTTGTATGGCTAATTTGGAGAAAAACTCCTACCAAACAGCCCACTTGGTTCTTTCCTTTTGAGATTTTTTTTTTTTTTTTTTTTTGATAACATCCTTTTGAGATTTTACATGAGAGCTTTATTAATCTTATATTATAGGAGAGTAATTTTCTCCTATTATAGACACAATAATAAATGGGGCCTATTCATTTATAAAAAATAAAAAAATGAATTACACAAAAATCAATAAATATGTAGAAAAAAGAGCTATTCTACAGCAACGTGCACAGTGCCCCGCCCTTATTTTTTTGGCATTTAACTTTGATTGTTAGGGGGTATTTCAAGTTTTTGCTTTACATGATGAGACAAACTAGACTTTCAGTTTTGGTTCATATTTCTTAACTTACTCATGCTTTATTCAATGCCAGAGGTGCTGTCTCCTCTTAATAATGATCTTTTATTATAATGGTTGAACAAAATAAAGAAAAATAGAAATGGATTAATGTTTGTCATGTTATTGAAAATAATTTTATCTTTTATTCAATTCCAAGGAAGGCAGAGGTGGATGCAAGAAGAAGAGAAGGGGGACAAGTGTCCACCCTTAAATTTTAGTGTGAATTTTTTTTTTTTTTTTGGCTTTTTCTCCTCCACCCGTGACCAGACCTAGCCACCTCCATTAGACTAAATCCAAACCTAAGCAGAAGCAGTCATGCCTCATCGGAGACGGAGAGGAGAGAGTTGTATACCATTTTTGTACTATTGATTTGTTCTCTTTATTTATATATGATTTTTGAAGGTTTGCAGCACATAAAGGATGAAGGTGGCAGGGGTCAATTGGTCAAGCATATGGGAAATCTTCACTTCACCCATAACTAAGGAAGCACGAACACTTGTACAAATAGGGAGAGTCGTGTCTGACACGCTCTGACACGGTGTCGGACACGCGGTCAACTTTTTCCGACACGTTAACCATTCCGACACGCGAATTTGACCGTGTCCGACACGGTCAAATGACATTTTCGTAATTTTTTTTAAAAAAAATTATTTTTTAAAAAAATTAAAATATATTAATAAAGCTTCCACCTGATCATATCAATTTTATTTTTTTGTCTTTTTTTCCCTTAAGTAGATAAGAGATCATCTCAGCATCATTGTTGTCAATTCCTATTACGCTCTTGTTGTATCTCCTTCTCTCTGATCTCTCTCTAATATGATTTGATCTCTTTATCTGATATTATATCTCTCTCTCATCCCATTTCATATTTTTTTTATTAAAGCTTTCATCTTGATGGGTATTATTAATTTAGTTTCATTTTTTGTTAAATTATTAATATTAAATAAAATATACGCTATATAAATTAAAAATATTATTTAATATTAAAACGTGTCCCAACGTGTCGAAATCCATAATTTTTTAAGATTGATGTGTCGGAGTGTCGTGTCGCGTGTCGTATCGGTGCTACATAGCCCATAACCACCCAGATCCAGATTCAGATTTATTTATTTATTTATTTTTATTTTTTTGGTACATACAAGTTTATTTATTTTATCTCTTTCTTTTCACATTCTGGCAAAAAAATTAAAATAATGTAATTAATTAAAATAATTACGCATTTAATGATGTTTTGTGAAAAATTACACATCTGTTGCACAATGAGACGCCCTCTTTGGGCGTCACATGTGACGCACGCCCCACTGGGGCGTCACATGTGACGCCCAAAGAGGGCGTCTCATGTGCAACCTATATATACCCCACTTTCCTTTTTTCACTCCTTACTCATTTACCTCTCCAACCTCTCTCTAACCTCTCTCTAACCGCGGTTCGTAGCGAAGCTCTGCCAACGTAGGTAAGGTCATAATACCTCATATGTATACCTTTAAATTACAGTGCTAATTAGTAATACATGTTAGGATTGATTGTATATTAGAGACTTGGAACATTAGGATAGTCACTTAGAAATTTTGTGTCATGCTATGAATGTTGTAATGATATAGTAATATTATTATTACGTAGTTATTATTATTACTGATTTTTAATTATGTATTAGGGTTTAGCATATTAATTAGTGATTTATAAATAGTGTTAGAGACTTTGTAAATTTCGTATGTATGATGTTATTAATGCGGGAGTGCATAACTTTGTAGTTAGTTAAGGATAATGGCTGAGTCATCATCTTCTTCGGGATCTGATTCGGATGTAGAGCCCACCGATCCCAGCATATGGATCATACCTGGACCCTACAGGTGGGAGGTCCTTCGTCAGAGGACGCAGAAAGGTCATATTTCACAGCGTGTGTGGAATACTGAGCATGTAAGAAAGATTAAGACGAGGCGTGGGAAGCCACAAGGGGGCCCACCTACCGGTGTTATTCCACAGGTTGTGGAAGAGTACCTCAGACAGGCGGGTTTCATACATGTTGCCAGGATGCAACATATCCAGGTATGTTATTTATGTCGTTTTGTATTTATGTAATTAAATAATGTAATTCGTTAACACGTGATAACTGCGTAATTTATCACAGATAGATACATTTTTAATTAGTGCTCTGGTCGAGAGGTGGAGACCAGAGACACATACCTTTCACATGACCCAAGGTGAGATGACGATCACCTTACAAGATGTGGCAGGCATCTTGGGCTTGCCGACCGACGGTACTGTCGTCATCGGATCGACCTCTGAGGATTGGCACACTGCTTGTGCTGGTGTTTTTGGACACGTTCCAGAGGCCGGTGAGTTTCATCATTCTGGCGACCTCTGCATCTCATTCTTGGATCGACATTATACCCGATGGACTGATCATGAAGGGAATCATGCTGCCGAGATCTACTTCACAAAAGCTCACATTGCGCGGATGTTGGGGACTTGGTTGCTGGCGGACAAGTCTGGAGGTAGCAATTTTGGTTGTCAGCTTGTCCCGTTGCTAGGTGGAGGATTTGAGGACATTGGCCGATTCAGCTGGGGATCTGCAGTTTTGACACACTTGTTCAGGAATTTGTGTGAAGTGACAGATGCCCGTCGAAGCGACATGGGTGGTTGCCATATTCTCCTTCAAATTTGGGCATGGATACGATTCCCACCCATTGCTCCACCCCTTCCTCCTCATCCACAGTCGAGCACACATTATGGATGCCGGTATGATTTACTTACTTCATTTGATTTCGATAATGTATGGTTAATACTGTATGTACTAACTGTATACTTCTTGACTTTGGACGATTATGTATGGTTGATAATGTTTTTGATTGACAGGTT